ATCTTCATTATCAAATGTTAGGAAGACATTATCAACGTAAAGATTTTTTATTAGTTCTGTCGCAACTGGATATTTTTAGATGAAGATGAATGAATGGTTGCTAATAACAAAGGACCACATTTAAGGCCGAAAAGCATACGAGCGATATATTAAGTCTTAAATACCCATTCGGGCTAGCTGCCATCAATTTATCACTCTTCTATATCAGTGTGCCTATTGGTATTGAGGGGATTGGTATTGGTATTTATTAGTGCCCCCATTCTCTCATCCCTTTATTTACATATTGGGCCAGTTGGCCTAATATCTATCTTGAGCTGTTCTATCTCATCCAACTGTGCAAGGATATCTATTTGTGGGTGGCCCAGATTTTTAAGGGTTTTAATATTTTCTACTTTATTCAATTAATTCAGCTATATAATGGTTAGTTCTCAAAAAAGAACTTCAAAAAACAAATCAATAACTATTCACAAACATTAACGATATTTACAATCCAAGAGATGAAAACTTCTAGAAAAACTTTTAAAAATTTCGATAAAGCTTCGCTGAATATCGATCATAATAAACTGTCGACAATGCTTTTCCTTCCTTAGTTATTTCTTCTTCGTCGATAAAATTATTCGAATGATATCGACCAATAATCGACTAATAATTGATTAAATTCATATTTTTTCAAAATTCAATTCACGATGAGTTTCCCAGCTGATGTATCATGTATAGAAAATATTTGGTGAAGCTCGATTCCTACTCTCCGTCCATTGTCCTCCTTATAAATATCTTACTGAGAAAGATCGGACCTTCAAATTTGAATAAATCGCTTATTTAATATATATACACAAAAACATAAAAACAGAAGAAATAAAAACATTAACAAATCCTATAACACTGGTGCTGCATATGCATGTCTCTGAATAGCAAATCCTTGGGAGATGAATGATTCACTCGATAGCGCCAACGCAGAAACGTCGATAAAAACGTTCAAAATTATTCTAATACAATTAACGCGTGGCAGGCGAGCATAATCCCACTGCTTCCAATCAATAATTTATTTATTTTTTACAGCTTCTATTACTGTCGACGATGACTTCAGACTGCGCCTCTTGGAAGCGTCTTAGCCTTGTAACCGCTAGATCCAGTCTAAGCACTAATGCTGAGAGCTATTAGAAGAAATATCTAATTGATTAAAATAAAATTTAGATCAGAAAAAAAATTATTTGCATAAAAAAAATTGCATTCTAGTGAATTTAAATAATATATATATTTATTTTCAAATTCCAATTTAAATTAATCGAACAACAAAATAAAAATTGCAAATTAATTTATAAATGCTATTAAATATAAATCAAATATCGTTTAGTCATCGCCATGGGAATGCTTTTTCAGAATTCTTTCCCATAAAATTTTGTGATCATGCGAAGCATTAGAATATTCACTTTTAAAAATACTAAATAGCGAATCAGTAGCCGGTATGGGTAGGCGATTTCCTGCAACAAAAAAAAAATTTTTGCAAATAATTAGGGTATTAATTTTTTTGCTTTTAATATTTGTTTTATCATCGATGACTTACAGGCAAAATAGTTTCTATGGTTATATCGAGAATAGTTCGGGTTCGGAGATCGGATAATGTACCGGATAATCACATCATATTTCGACAAATGAAAGCACTTTCGAACGCCGAAAGCAAAGGGAAGCAAATTGGCTTGGTTGTTGCTCTTATTTCGAAGCGCCGATAATGGTGTTCTACTCGCAATATGATGAAATGTTTAAAAATTTGGGTGATGCTGGCAATTCCACCTGTATTTTTATTACCATATGACTTCCTGGCAAAATTTGCCGGAATCCGACGAACTAGCGGAGTGAGTAATAATCACCAATGATAAGCGCTCCAGAAATAGAAGAAAGAAAGAAAAAAAAGTGAAATAAGAAAGTGGTGAAAGCATGATGTATTTACATCAGATATAATATCCAAAAAAATTTCTATAAGAAATGAAACCATTCGACTATAATCAATTAAACGAACACCAACCTTGCTCTGGATTAAAACGTTTGTCACGTAATATTTTCATTCGCGACATAAAAACCATTGCAAAACCAGTCATAAATGAATCTATTCCAGCATTATGGCTAGCTGTAAGAAAATTGATAAAACTGATAAAAGGATGAATATTTAGCGTTCATAAAATTAATAACAAAAACATCGCATTCTCTCACCTTTGATAATCAAATTTAAATAATTTTCTTTAAGAAACAAAAGAAAATTGAATATCAGGATTAAGGCGTCAGAGATGAGACGTCAGACGTCAGCAAGAACAAACAAACAACAAAATGAAGACCTAAGAAAAATTCATACCATATGGATTTTTTAATGACCAATTCGCTCCTATAAGAGTCCGAACTCAAAGGTATAAGGTGATTTTCATAGCAACAACCAGTCCACTATAGAGATTCCACTAAATAATGCTCTTAAACAAATTTATATAGCTCTAAATCCAGGATATCGTTTCAAATATAGGCAACCTACATTCTTCATCGGTTTTACCAATGCTTTTAGTCAGAATGGTGCTCTGGCAAACCATCCGACATATTTCAGAATCAACCAGAGCACTTTATCAGTGCATAAATTGAGTATGGGAAATTGATGAAATCTTTTAAAAAACGCATAGGTGGGCGTTAAGGTTATCTTTTTCCTTACAATTTTCTATATAATGCAGTATGTAATAGACTGGGCCAGAGAAACCAGCTGCCGACATTCAAAAGTCCAGTATATAAATCCAGTACATAAATCCAGTCCAGAGCATAGTGCTACAGAACTTGAATACACTGGGCCTTTTTGGTGAGTTATAATAAATTGCAACAGATGATAAAGCGGTTTCGAAGGAGGCAACCTTTAAATTAATGTAAATAAGAAGAAAATTCTTATATACGAAACGCATATAAGATGGAAATTTAAATATCTTAGATCCACTCTTTTATATCTAATGTTCAGAAGAATTAAACTCCAGCTTGCATACTACAGCCACAAATGCCTTCTTTTACCAGATGAAAACTCTCCAGAATCGCTGCAAAATCAATCAATCAGTCACAAAACAAAAGTTTTTTTTCATCTATCTGGCTAAGCATAATCTCAATTGATGTAAAACTTGGCCAATGAGAGCGGAAAATATCTGCCTTTGAATATTTTTGCCTATAAGTAAATATATATCCACCAACTGGACAGAGCTTCACATGACAACATCCATCTTCGTTCAAATTATCATCTGTATCATCTGTATATTAAGAACATGGTCACAGAGCATTGTTTGCGAACTGGTTCGGCCATGTTCCTTGTCGCCTACCACAGTAATTGATGCATATATTGTGACACGTTCTTGCTAAATTTTATAATGGCTTAGGCTTAGGCTTAGGCCTTAGTAACTAGAAAAGAAGAAAAAAAAATATCCCATGTGATTCTAATGGCCAATGGAATCAGTTAAATTGGAAATAACACGATAATACTTAGAAAAAAGAATTATGTTTACTAATTTAGAATTTTCATGGTCAATATAGATCAATTTTAGGATCATTCAAGTGATCTCATGATTCCTGCTTATTGCCATATGCAATATCATCATTTCGGTACTTTTATCTATTCCGCAGAAAATATTTTATTAATTTATCTACACTCGTTGGTACTTCCATAAAATTTTCATCCAAAAAAAATGAACATACCATGATTCAATATTATATAGTTTAGAAAATCTTATATTAGAAATTAGATGATAAATGGGTGAAACTGACCTGTAACTGACCTATTTTCATAAGTTTTGAATACTGGATCTGAATTTCCTGTATTATTCTTTTCTTCCTCTTGCTCATCGATTTCCATATTTTCATCTTTTCCTTCCTCGCCCGCCTTCAATGGCTCATTTTCATTGTTCTTTCCATTACCCCCACTTGAACTATTCTCCGAAAATGATGAGTGGCGCCTCTTTCGACGTTGGCGAGTCTATAAGATATGCTAAATGTACTTAAAAAATAACGAATTACATCTATTACTAACGATATGATGTTCTTTCGTAATCATGGGATAAAAATAAGAGATATTAAAAATTTAAATAAAATTTGAAATTTAAGGAGACTACGCAGATAATGGAAAATTAATACTTTTAAATTGTTGTAATATTCACAATCCAGCAATAAATCCATGTTATGAATATAATTACATTGTTGCTTTTTGCAGTTACCAATCCTCTAAAAAAATTCCAATTTTCTAATCTGCATGCCAAAAATAAATAAATAAAGAATAATATATTAAAAAGTTAAAAAAGAAACTTAAAATTTCATTATGTAAATTTAATTTGACCATTTGTCTTCATAATTATAATAAAATGAAAAACTGAATTAATGAATTTAACGATATATAACGATATTGTTATATAATTTTTTTGATTTGAATAATTGAAATACTTTTCTTCGTTTCTGAAGAAAAAATTGTTTATAAAAAAATTAAAAATTTCAAAATGATTCAGAAAATAGGATAATTAAGAGGGTGTTGCTTAAATTAAAATTTAAGGATCTTGCCCTCTAACAAAATAAATTAAGGCACTGGAGTGGTACCGAGGATCCATTTTAATTTTTACAACAAAAATCATCGTACTAATGGAGTGAATATTAAGCATTTATTTTATCCTTAATGACTGAAGAGAGAATAATAAAAGACTAAGTTCTTTGAATTTATTGAAAATATAAACAAAAAATTTTGAATTAATAAACGAATAGGGGACTTTAATTTTAAAAATTTCTCATTTATCTTTAGTTCCAAGTCCAAATTAATTCAAAAATTCAACGTTTCTACGAAATTCAAAAAATAGTTCAAAATATAAAAAATTAAAAAAATAAATGATTTACCAAAAAGATATAAAATTTTTTATTTTTTTTCATTCTTATATTTTCTTGTATTTTTTTAGATTTTATATTATTATTATATTTTTATATTATTATATTTTTTTGAAAACGTACAATTCTTAATTATAGAAATAATAGAAATGGTAAAAAGAAAATTTTAGAAATTTTAGTAAAAAAAATCGAATTACCAAATAATTAGAGCAAAGTTGCTTTATCGTTGAATCATGATATACATCTATTCGAGGAGGATTTTCGTAAAACCCATCAGGTAAACTACAATCAATGCTGTAGATGAAGTCAGTTGTGGGATCCTCAGATAATAAATGATAATCGAAAGAAATGCTAATAAAAGCACGTGAGCAATTCGCCTCCAAAACGTTGTTTCGTTGGCTAAATAACGAAAAAATATTAACCTTTGAATTAAAAAAAATTTAAAGGCCTTAACTCAGCAAATACGAAACAAACCATTTTCTAAATATATATTCTAAAGAGGTTCGCTTAGTATTAAAATCCATTTCTGCTACATATTTTGAATCATAAACACCACATGATTCCTCAAGATTGAACCAATCCGAGATATTAGCAATAAATTCATCGCAACTTTCAGGCAAACCAAGATAAAAATTTTGGTAGATGAAAAAAAGATCAATCAAGCCATTGTGGAAAACAACTGGTATGCGGGCAGCCAAGATTTCCGACCAAATCGACCTCATTGTGTCACCCTGTAGAAGAATAACTCTTATTAGTTAAAATCATATATAACTATCTATAAAATTAGGTTGAAAGCACTCGAACACTATCGTAAAATGATTTTCAGGATCATATGACATAATGCCGATAAAATTGCCAATTGGGTAAAAAAAAATATATGATTTTAATCATTAGAAACGAAAAAAAAGCAAAAACTTATGGACCTCAACAGATGTATGAAATAGGCTGGAAGAGAAAAGTTCATTCATATCAAAATTATTTTTTGCGAGAAATTTCATTGAATTTGGTTCCACAATAAATGGTACGGCCCGCATTGTCAATATATTAAATACCTGAAGTGTTCTTTGCATACAATAGAACTAGAAGAGAATGAAAATATGTGAATTTTCAAATTATATATATATATATATATCATATAGTCATATTATATTTACAAATTAATTTATATATCATTATATACCATAACTTCGCCAAATTCTACCTTGAGGATTTCGTTCGAATGGATGAAAATAAAAAGAAATTCTGAATGGGAAAACTGAAATCAAAAATCAAAAATATGGCCCAGAGTTGCTGGAATAAATTAATGTTTTAGGCTAATAAGCTTTTTTATAAGAATTCATATCACCTTAAATGGTGCGTTAGAAGTTCGAGACAATTGCCACCGAGAATCAAGGCTTTCGCCAATGCACCACTCTTCATTAGGCGGTATTGTGGCCTAACGCAAGGTATGCCGAAATTCTATCCCTGGCAGGATTAAACCTATCCCTAAAAAATCCGGTTCTAACGACTCATCTGTACTTCCACCAAGGGATTTCCTAGCATTGTCCGGTACGACAAACCAGAGGAGTCTAACCAGTAATGATAAGGGCTATTAAAAAAAAAAAAAAATACAAGAATTAAATAATGGTTAGCATATTTAATGAATCTGGTTGAAAAATAATGTAAAATATAAATATAAAATTAAATATAAATATAAAATATATAAAATTGATTTAAAACTAATTTTAAAAACCTGGCACTCATATTTTATCCTTTTTTTCTTCTTTTTTTCCGTACATTTCAACAAACGGAACATGCATAAACCGACTGAAATAATTGATCGTGTTCTTGCTGTTTCACAGATTATTTTATAACGATATAGCATATCTTGTCCAATAAAGTTCTGAGGTCCTAAGCCACTAAGTTCCTTAAATTCCATTATTCGAATCTAATCGATCTATCGATATACAAGATTTTGGATTAAAAATATTCATATATATATGCTAGCATAAACCAAAAAAGAAAGAAACTAATTAGACTAATAGTAATGATAATACAAACCGCTTATTATATAATGCCATATTATGCTATATAAACCATTGTGCCTAACTTTTTCAGCCAGAAGCGAATTAAAGAAGATAATAATAATCAATGAAGATAATCAAAGAAAAAAAAAATTTTGAATTTAAAGGAAAACAAAATTAACCAAATCTATCGACACAAAACTGGCATTTCTCGCACACGATATTATATAAGGAAAAATACGATTCATATTCCACTTATTAACTTCAATAATGACGATTTTTGATAGTTTTCCATGAAATGTTCTGAAATAATTCGCTCGTTCTTCTTCTAATATATCAATAATCCTTTTCTTCTTTTCCGTCATGCTACGCTGAAAGGAGTGATAACGCTCAAAATCTGAAATATGCAGTGGAAAATAACAACAATAATAACATCTCTAGATTCAGTTCAAGTAATAAATAAAAAAAGATAAAACTAAATTAGTCAAAAAGAAAATCACTTTAGAAACCACTTTATTTAAAATAAAAAATATCCAATTTACCATCGTTACCATCGTTATAAAATTAAGAATATATTAAGAATTAAGAATTAAATATTTAAATATAACCAAAGTACAGTATAATCGACAATTCTCAAATATTGACAGGAAATCCTAAATAATCCTAAGACGAACGGAAATTATCCAAAAAAATATATTAGTTATATATTAGTTCTAGAATTTCCAGAAACTTTTTACAAAACAACTCCATATTCAATAAAATATAAAAATAATAAAAAATAAAAAGCCTGTGGGACCCGTTAATTTTGTCGATTATAATTACAATAAAAATTAAAAAAACAGAGATAAGCATGAACAAAATAGTAAGATAAAGGTGAAAAAAAAACAATATGAATGTTAAAGTCATTTTCTTTTCTTAACTTCTATATCCGTATTCCTTTCTTTCTGAGCGATTTGAGATTCCCTGAATAGCATTTTATTATTTTTAAAATAATCAAAATAATAAAAAACCTTGAGTTATATTCAGTCGTATTTGTAATTAGTTATAACCTTTCTTATTCTTATTCGAAAATTCTCCAAAATTATTTCGAAATTATTTTATGAACCTAAAATTTTGAAAAACAAAAAAAACAAAACAAATATTTTGCATTTCTTAAATATGGAAAATATTAAGAATTTTAGAATTAAGAGAAAAATAAAATGAATAAATAAATTAAGAGAAAAATAACTTACGAGGGAATCGTACGCCATTTACCACCAATAAGCAAAAGAGACAAAAAATTCTCAAATAGTGCTAAGGGATTTTGAATATCCATAATTATTGAATTCAATTTCAAACAAACGAATAATGCAACGATAACCTAAAATATAATTTGTTTAAAAAAACTGAGGAAGAATATATGATGACAGATATTTAACCTATAACAAATATTTTTAAAAATTCTCTATTTTCCAATAAAATTATGTAGCCACAAATTTTTGTCAATATTCTTAACATATATAGATGATCCTCTGATAATTCTGCTTTCCAGTACTGATTGCGGACAGCAATAAGCAATCCACCAATGAATGATACCTTCGTAGCTAATGAAGGACGGAGAACTTCATTATCATGTGGAACCCAAACTCCTCGAATTAACTGCAAAAGATTTTTAAGAAATCATTAAAATAGCAATGCATATCGTAAAAGAATACTATATGATATAGGACGTTATCAATTTGTAAGTTAAACATTCTGGACCCATCCGAAAATCGATGAACACACCACTTACTCTTTTATAACCACCTTTAAGCAGAATATCAAAAGAACTGCAATAAAAACGATGACTTAACTAACAACTTGATGTACATTTATGAAAGATACATTGCTGAACATTAATTTATGGAAATTATTTAAAAAATGCAAAATAAATGCCACTGACTGCTGACTGTATTGCCTATTCAAATTGGCAAGTATATTTTAAATTTTTATTTTTTATTTAATATTCTTTTTTAATTCCCAATTACAAAAAATATTTTAGAATGAATAAAAATAGTCTTTTTACCATATTTAATAGCAAATAACGTCTCAAGCATTGATAACATTGATAAAATAAAAAAAAAGAAAAAAGACAACCTGTTCAAAAGTTCTCACGACACCGGAACCAGCCCCTCTTGTCACACCTATAATAACATGAATAATAAACGATTTCGGATAAAGTTTTATAGCATATAACACACCATCAAATACCTATAAATTTTTATTTAATATTTTTTTTTTAATTTTCATTGAAACTTCAAATTCTCAAGTATTTTCCCAATTCTTTTTTATTTTTATTTTTGTGAGTACGAATTTCTATGAATACAAAATTTTTTACTAAATCCATTTAAATCTAGAGATTAAAGGGTATTCCTCTAAAATTATTAATTTTTTCCACTTAAGCCTAAAATTTCTTCGTATTAAATATTGAATTATTTAGCTATGGGTTATTTAGAAACTAAAAAAATAAAACCTTATTCGATCGTTGAATTTCTTTCAATATAGCAATTATTACGACAATTAATTTTATTTTGACCAGTTTAAAACAAATATCAAAGGGTGAATAAAATATGAGATACCAAATAATTGTTGCCTAAATTTTTAATTTCAAGAATTCATTAATATCGCTAATACATTCACCAAAAAGCTTAAATATTATTGCTATATATTTCTGCTCATAGTTTCTTCCCATTTAAAAACATAAATGAACCTTCAAAATAAGTGATTAAAATAATAAAATTGATAAGCTACTGAAATATTATACGACAAAAACAGAAATTTAACTCACGACGAATACTTCATTATTATTCGCAAAACATGAGATTACTGGTTGACCAATTACAAAATTTGTCAACAGACAACCAGCAAAGCACATCATCATAGAAGATAACCAACAACTAAGCGGATTTCTTCGAGAAAAGAAATTTGCTTCTGCACCCATACTTTCACGAACTGAGACTGACATCTGAAAATAATATCATACAAACCAAAAATATCCAATATATTTTTATTCTATTAATAGAATCAAATATCCAATAGCCACACATTTGTATTAATTGATAAAATTATAAAATATTTTTTCAATTTTAATTTAAATTAAATCTAGAGTGCATATTCACTAAAATCGCACATATTTTAGTAATTGTAATAAAATTTTATTTATAAAATATTATTGATAAATAAAATATACGTGTAAATATTAAAAATAAAAATTAATACAATAAAAATTAGAATATTTCAGGTTTTATATTTTTTAATTATAAACTTTATGTTCATTTAAATATTGATGTATTCAGTTATTTTGTGATTAAACTATGAAACATCAAATGATAGAATTAATCAACTGTCGTTGAAATAAGTCCTCTTCTCCTTTACTATGTTTATTTTCTTATCTCTAATCACTATTTCTCTAATCGTAGACATTCTATTCAATTATCACCAAAATAAAAAAATAATATTATAGGTTTGAAAAAAAACAAAACAAAATTATAAAAATAAAGAAACTATTTAAAAAAATGAAAAAAAAAAACTCACAAGAATGTAATGAGCGATATTAAAAAGATAAAATTCTTTCCAATTTTGGACATTTAATAAACCTATAAAGCGAAATATTCCTTCCATTGGGCAAAAAATATATAAACGAAGCGTAATCTGCAAATAAAAATTTCTTTTCTTTTAAAATAGTGAGCATTTTCAAAGAACAAAATAGCAAAAACCATAATCTTTTTTAAAGCTTTTCCTTCATTTCTCTAAAAGTAAAATTCAAATAATATATTGTAAACCCTATATATTGTAAACTGTAGGCCAAGGCTATTTTACTACCTTTAGCCTTTGTAATTAATAAGCATATACCATTAATAAGCATATATTAAGTTAGATCAAGCTTAACCCTATATTGCACTTTAGATCCTACGTAGGCCTAAGGCCAGAGCAAGCCAAACCCTAACCCTAAATGCAAACCTCTTCATTCTTCTATGATTAAAATTGAAATATATTATCATGATATATTATCATTATAATAAATGGTAAACGACTAATTATTTTGTAATATTTTGTTATAATATAATATTTTGTAAAAAAAAAATTAAGAACTTCACTCACAAATCACAATCTTTATCATAATTCTTTCAGCCAATTATCATTTCAATAAGCTTAAAATAATAAAATAAATAAAAGGTTAAAGGTCACCTTATAAAAAAATTTTTTAATTTCAATAAATAAAATAGGAAAATAAAAATAAATAAATAAAAAATAAACCGAGAAAAAATTTGTTATATATTTTTATATATAAATAATTTTCAAGGAATTACAGAATTTTATATTTAAATATTATAAAAATAAAAAAGTTGAAAAATAATTTTTTGAATATTTTAAAATTTAATTTAAATTAACGAAAATTTAAAAAAAGAATAAATAAAAAATTGAATAAAAATAAAATGAATTTATTTGCCCTAACAACAATAAAAAACTGATAAAAATTTTCCATATTGCTAGAGGCCAATTTAAAAAATTTAAAAGTTCGCATCCCGCAACGAAAAATTGCATGTCTTAGCAGCTTAATATTCTGGAGCAGTGACTCGGCATAATAGCTAGGCTGTGTCCATTAGGACCATTCAGTTAGTAGTCTAATATAAGTATTAGGATTTTTAGCTCATTTAGTGTTACCATTGATCAATTTGGTTGTTGGATTCAGTCATTGATTATCGGTTTTTGTTGGTCATTTGGACATTTGCGCATGTCTTTAGGGTCGGTTATGTTGGTCATTTGGAGAGACATTTACTGGTGAGCAAATGACAGAGGGGGCGAATTCATTAGTTTTACTTCTATTCATATTTCTATCGTCATTTAAAAAATTAGCTATAGTTGTTCTTTGACCTGTCCAGGTTTTGATTCGCATTTCTCGCTTGACTCATAGAACCTACGAAAAACATAGTTCTAGCGATAGATGATAAAGAATAGCTATGGCGAACGAGCGTAAACGATGTTTTACGACGATATTGGGAATGCGGTGTGAAAGCGAAGTTGAATATGAGATTCTGTGCACTCAGTGGATGAATGGTGCCTTAGGCACATATGCCTTAGGTGTAATCAAGGACAGATATAAATTTCCCATATAACAATAGTATAGCCAAGTAGATGAGGACTTTTGTTTTAATAATAATTTCATAACGATTCCATAGCCATGGAAATTTCACTTAGGTGGATGAACGGTATTTTCCTAGGCCATCCGTACTTGAATTTTTTTTGGCCACAAGAATAGACCCAAAATATCTGAAATTTAGCACTTTCTGAATGGGTTATTCTGATAGGTTTTCTTATTTCTGCCAAAAAAGAATAGACAGCGAGATTTTCGTAAACAAAAAATTGCATGTTGGTTAGTGCACAAGAAAATATATATTGTGGTGACAAAAAATGTTTGATATAATGTTTGATATAATAAATAATTATGGCGAATTTAATTGTAATAGTTTGACAAAATTTGGAAAATTCAGATAAAAGAAACTAGAATTTTGCTTAACATCCTAATATTCCCATATTTTTTCCCTTTCCTTTTAAGAAATAAAAATCTTCCCTATGGGTGGTAATGGTCGTTCTCAACCTCGCATCCCCTATCTCTGGTAGAGGCCTGGGAGATTGAGGCTTCTGCACAATGTCTTAGTTGTTCCTAGCAATAACTCTTTTGATTAGAGGTCTGGGATGTTGTTCTTGGAGTCTGTTCGTGAAGTTGTTTTTCGAGTTCAATGATCACATTTTCAAATGCTTCAATTATCACTGCGATTACTTTGGCATTTTCATTTTCCACAATACAAAAAACGACTGTGCTACCTCAGTAAATATCATTGTAACGAACGATTTTTTATTAAATTATTGACGATAATTATAGATTTAACGATTTGCAACAAAAATTTGAATTTTTTTAATTTAGCGTAAATTTAAAAAAATTAGGAAAAAATTTGAAGAAATTTAATTCATTAAATAATTTTTAATTTTCTTAGAATTAAACAACAACTGAATGAATTTTTAAGAGAAAATTATGTTTTCATAGAAATTATAAGAAAAACGAATCGAAATAATTGTTTTAGTGCAAATCGAATTCATTGGTCCTTTTTTGGTTCATTTAAAGTTTCGTCAGTATCGGTTTTCGTTCCAAAACGACGTCGTTCACGACTTGCCGTTATCGCCCTTAAATTATCGTTTTTTTCCTTGGTTCATGCTAGTAGTTCACCTGATTCTGTGATGTGAATTTTTGGCCATTTAGCTCAAAAAATGAGGCCAAGAATATAATTTAATAAAAATTTTCAAGCCTATTAGCAAGTCTATTAGCTAAGCTTGCTTAACCAAAAATGATGAGCGCTAACTATCATTATTTTATAATTTAACGATTAAATATAAGCAATACATGTTGAACGATTATTTTTGGTGATTTTGAATCATGCAAAATCGTTCGTAATGGTTTTATTAGTTGAATTTAATTAAAATTAAATAAAATTAAATAAAATAATTGTACCTTGACATTGCATCCCAAATTCCACCCATGAATATTGCACAGAAAAGATTTTCAAAAGGTGCGAAAGGATCCTGAACGTTCAAAAGTATTGCACTTAACTTGAAATATATAAAAAAACCAACAATTCCCTGAAAATTTCCCAGACTATTTAAAATAATATTTAAATATTTAAATTTATCCAAATTTATCGAAAAAAAATATTTTATAGAAAGAAATTCTATTTTTTTGCTTGGTTAGGCTCACCTTCGCATTACATATAGGAACTGAAAAATTTTACCAAGGACTTAAAATTGGAGATTAGAAGTATAGTCGATTGCTAGCATTACAACAATGCGGATCTTTGAAGGGCATGTTTTACTTTTGTTGGAACTTTAGTGCGACAAGCCACTAAGCTCTTCCATACATTGCCGAATGTTTCGCAAATCTAACGGATGAAGAAAACAGGTTGCACTGGTTGGTGACTGTCTTGCTTTTTTCTCAGCAAACTTATAGTAGTTTTTTAATTTTTTAGAAAAATATCTACCAAGTAGACGACATCATGTGGTGCTGAGATATATTGTGTTTGCTTGTCCAACGTGAAAATAATTGCAGCGATGAAGCAAGCTTTTGTTGAAAATGATGGCCGAAGAATTTCATTGTATGATGGGATCCAAACACCTCGTATGAGCTAAAATTATTTTTTTTAAAGAACTATATGTACTACTAATTGTGAATAGGGGTTTTAAGAAAAAGAAGCAAATCAAAAATCATTATCACTAGATACTATGAAAAAAGGTTTGGCTTCTATTACTGTCGACGATGGCATCTGATCGCGCTGCCTGGAAGCGTTTTACTCTTGTAACCGTTGGAGCCAGCATAAGTAGTAATGGTGTGAGCTGCTAGAAGAAGAACTATGAAAACAGTCCAAAATTCAAAACCAAACTAATATGTGTGAATGTCTTTAGAGGTGCTTTTTTCCACTGGTACAAAACCCAGCTGATTCTCTGGTGAATAGGCATCATCATCAATTAAACCAGAAATGTGGTCATAAGGCTGGAAATATGGATGGATCTCCAGCACCATTGCGGATTAAATGACAGGTTTACTCCATTCGAGGAATATGAATCGACCTTATGGTGCTTGGTGTAAATTCGTAATTTCATTCCAGTGTTTATTATAGGAAATCTGTTCTACAGATCTATAATGGTTTTTCCTTCTTTTTTCTTCGAGTTTTATAAATATAGGGAGGCAGACTAGCCAAGCGGTGAGAATTCATCTAGTGCCTCATATCTGGCTGTTCCTGGCGACCTACTCGTATTTCTATCACAAACTGATATCCTAGCAAGATTTTTTAAAAGTGGTACTAAGTGGTTATATTAAAAAATTCGATTTCTTAAAAATTCAATAAATTATTCGAATTTCAACTTAAAATTATTAGACAAAAATATTTTTTGAGGGTTTTTTTTTGTAAAAAAAAATGAGTGTAATAATAATTTTTCATCTTTTTCTTCTTAAAAACGTCGTTTGTATTTTTAAATATTTATATTATATTTATATTTAAATATTTTTAAACAATAAGAGAATTATTGAATGGCTTAATTTGAAGCCAAAAAGCTTAACGAATAGATGAAAATAATAAGGCTGAAGTGTGTTACCTGTTCTAAAGTTTTAAGTATTCCTGAGCCAGCACCTTTTGCTATTCCAACTAATACATGAATTATATACGAATTCGGATAGAGTTTCGCGGCATGTGATACACCATGAGCTACCTTAATGAAAACCGATTAATATAGATTAATTTCATAAAAAGAAAAATTAAAAGCGATTATTTTTATTTTTTCAAAAAAATTTATTATTTATATATATATAAAATAAATATATTTAAAATGATATGTATAAATTTATAAAAATAATAAAAAACATCGGAAAATTATCAGAAAAAAATAAATAAATTCGCAACAATTTATCAAAAAATTATCGAAAAAATAAAATTGAAATATTTGGTGATATACTTACCTTATATGTTCTAAATATTTCCTTCATTACACATAAAACTACTTTTATGGGTAATATTTTAGAAATTTTATAAATTAAATCGAATGGAGAGTAAAATACGAGATACCAAACTAAAGTTGCCTGAAATATATATCGAAATCAGTTCGACTATTTAGTGCAAATAATGTAAGATTCACACCTAAACTATATACTCTTAAACGGGGTCATTGGTTTTGAAAAATAGGCGGCTCAGAAAGAAGGAAATTATGAATTCTTAGACTTTTGTTTATAAGTATTTTTTCTCAACTGATTAGGCTTGTCAGCTTAGTTGGCTTATTATACAAATTTACCAGGAAGTCACTTAGCGATAAATGGACAGGTGGATTACTAGCATAATTGAAAGTTTACTTGTGCCGGCAACCTCGCATCAAGATTCTAAAATGAGGAAATTGCCCACTGAGTTATTTATTCTACACCAAAATTATGATATATGTTATTTTTTTAATCCTCTAAAAGGATCATCAGTATCCTAATAACCAGTAGAATTAGCCAAATCATAAATAATGGAGTAGTAGAAGAAAATATCATAAGCATTAAATCCAACTGCAATGGTACTATTTTTTTATTAGTGACTTTAAAAATAATTTTTTAAAAAAGAAGAGAGAAAAAGTGAAATATGCTTGGAAGGCCAAAAGTATCGTCGACTAAGCAACAGTTTATCAAAAACTTATCATAAAATATTTCCAATTTCAATATAAAAAAACTATTCGATGGTGATAATATCATTCTTATCAAAGAAAGCCAATGGGACTCTCATTCGGTACCAAAAAAAAAAATATTAATCAATAACTTACAACAAGAACTTCTTCATGACGTTTAAATGGAGTGATAAGTGGTTCGCCTAAAAGAAAATGAGCAAAAATGCTATCTGCAAAGCACATTAACATCGATGAAGCCCAACAGCTAAGTGGATGTTTTCGCGAAAAAATTGACGCACCTGTACCCAAATCATCACGAATTCCTATGATCATCTGAAATAAATTTGAAAAAAAAAAAAAAATTCACTATGAAATATTCCAAAATGACTAAAGTTCATAAAAATTAAGGTTGAGGTGATAAGATTGAGGCTTAATTGCTAACTAAGATAAAGCTATCTTCACTTGGTTTATCATTTATCACTTAAGCGCGTTTAAGCTATCATTAAAAGTGAAATCCGAGTGGTGCTCGATGACGACTTATATTTTTAATAACTCTCTCTTGAAGGAATGTTATAGTTTCTGGATGATCTAAACTTGGTAATTCAAATCAAAATTTGTAAATCAATTGACATACGAGTATAAAATGTGCGATAGCGAAATAAGGAAACATTTTTAAGCGTTGTACTCGATTCGCTGCATTTAAGAGAATCTCTTGATCAAGTTTAATGTTGTCGATGAACGACATTTTATTTGCTTCACTGAGACGCTCAATTTTGATTAATTAATTTCTCTTGAAGATAATTCACGAAATAAATCCGCCTAAAAAATTTAAGATGAGGCACGATAGCCGAGTGAATAATGCTTAATTGAATTATATTTGAAATATTGTTGAAAGTTTTAGGCTTGTTATTATGATAAAATGATAAGATTTATCAAAATATAAAGTCGAGAATAATTTTGGCGATTGGATTTCTATAGCTAAGCGTGAATTTTTTAACAAAAATTTCTATTGTTATTTTAAATTATTAAATTTTTATTAAATCATTTAAATTATTAAACTAATATTATTTTAGTACCACTGACTATGCAATTTTCTCGGGCTAAATTCACTTGGGGCTATAGAAGCAAGCAAAAGTGGATGCTAAGCATTGCTCGGCTTTCTTAATGACGGGTATACCCCTTTATTTGCATTGAATCGATCCACAATGCTTAAAATTATAATCTAAGCAACGCCTGTTATACCGCTTTCGCCTACTGCATTTATTACCTTTTTAATTGCATATTTCATAGAGGTCGAAGCGTTTTCCAATGATTTTTCTTCTTCAGTCGCGACTATTTTTTATTTTTATTTACTAAATCTTTTTTTTTTTGGTGATTTAATTTATAAAATTAAATAATCGCTTCAAAGAAAAGAAAATTCGTTATTTGAGAATTATAATTACAATTTGATTTATAAAAACAACAATGAAAAATTATTTTTGCCTGAGGCATTTTATAAATTTATAAAATTTTACTAAAATACCCATCAAAAGAATAAAATAAGTCAGCGAATTTCTTTTTTACTTTAAAAATGCATTTTTGACTTTGTTTGTTATGAAATCATTTGACACAAGAAATAGCGACGAGTCGCTAACGTCACATGGATTTTTGACGGTTTATTTCTGCTCCAAGCAAAAAATTGAATTGAATCCAAGCAAAAGCGTTTCGAAATGCGAACCAATATACCACTCAACTATTTTATTTCTATTTCGATGATTTTAATTTAAATTTATTAAATTTTTTTATAAATTATTATTTATTCATTTATTTTTTTATATTGAATTTCTTCTTTTTTTGCAAATTTAAACGAAAAATCTATAAATTTTCAACGAATTTTTTATGTATTCGAGACGGAAATTAGTTTAAATAAAATTCACATATTGGCTTTGGCTCAATTTTAGTTTTTTTACAAATCTTTATAATAATTTTCGCAACGATTTATGAAATAAGGTTTCCAGCTTTAAAGGCAGCGATTTCGAACTCTGATTCGATCTTTTCCAGCATAGTTCGAGTATCTCTCTTTAACGAGGAAAAGGAAATCCGTGTCGTATGGTACCAGAAATATTGAATTGTTGAAATTTTGAAAATATTATACAAATCTATTCCTTTCATATTTTAAGAAAATATTCACTCATAATTATATTAATATTTATTTTAATATTAAATTTCAATAATTTATATTATATTATATTATATTAAATTTATATTATTATTATCATTATATTATATTAAATTTATATTATTTATTAACAATAGTTCAATAAAAATTCTAAAAAATCATTCTATAATCAAATTAAAATAAATAAATGAAAAACCTATAAAATTATGAAAAATATGAAAAAAGTAAGTGGAAATTTGAAATAGAAATAGAAAATTAAGACCGACTAACTGGATAGATAAGAGAAATAAACAAAGATATCTGCAGCAGACCGCATTAAATGTGTATCTTCGAGAAGATAGATAAATAAAAATTTGTTTGCTGCTTAGTTGTATAGTGTAAAATTTTATAGGATCAATTTTAACAAATCCATTATCGTTTTCGATGTGTTCAACTTCATTCACGTTAAATATATATATGTAAAAATTAATGCATCATTTCGATGTTTTTTGATTGTTCTTTGAAAAAATAATTAATGGAATATCAAATGGCTCAATGAGTTTTTGGCCTCATTTCGGAACGTCGATATTGGGGTTCGATTCGCCGTAGGCGTAAATCTTTTTTTCTTTAAAAAATTTGGCGATTCACCTATAATTTTCTATTGCCATGCGATTCTGTGGTAATTGAATTAATCCGGCTCGCTCCGTTGGCTTATCGTCGGATCAGATAAATTTTTTGTAAGAGAATTATTTGGCGATAGAAATACAAATGAGTCATTAACATCAACCGGATTATTGATGGACAATTTTATTCCTGCCGAGCATAGAAAACCTCAATATTGACACTAGAAATTGAACAGTTATTCACTACTGAGTCACATCCTCTTTGACTTTCGTCTTACCATTTCTTGAAGTGTGTTGCGTTGTCCGTACCGGGTGAGTATGAATAATAAAGAAGCGTTCTGGAAAAATCTGGATGATATTGGTGATCCAGTTGAATTTCTATCATCAATTGTTTCCCTTATAAAAATTTCAATTCTTTAAACAGCCAATGGGAAGAATCTAAAATTATTTTATCTAACTCGATTAGAAATGATAAGATAAACTTACTTATATCGTTAAATAGCTAAAAGAAGTAGAAAAAAAGAGCAATTTAAGAAATATTAAATTTATATACTTAAAAAATCGAGTATATGTGAATTTCTAATCGAATTATTCGGCCTAATTCGAGTCTAATTCAAGGAGAATAATCAACCAAGTTTCAAGCAGTTGGAACCATAAAACCGAATATAATTATAAAATGCAATCAATTAAATCAATTTTTTGTAAAATAAATAAATAATCAGCTTTTAACGATTTTCATTTGTTAAATTTAATTGACTAATTATTAAATTTTTGCTTCCTTTAAATTAAATTATTTAATTAAAATTATAAAATTATAATTTAAATAATTGTATATTTAAATATTTAGATAATTGATATTAGTTAATTAATATTATAATTAATATTAATCTGTTTAAATATTAATTATTAATTGAACAGTATTTAATAAGAACGTGAAAATTACGGCTAATTTTTCCTATAGTATTTGTGCTCACAACAGGCATTCGCTATTTCTGGCTTGTCTAATTCCACTAGGATAAAATTCTTTCATCCAGTGAGTGAGTGAGAAGGAATGGAAATATAGGGTAGGTGATCAGCGTTTCAACTAGATTTCACCATTAGTGTGCCACTACTGTAGTTAATGAAAAATTGATTTTGCCTATTATTTTTTAAGATAATTTTCGAGAAATTTAGTGGATCATTTTTTTTCTTTATTTGATTTAAGCCAATAAAATTTCAAATTTCGTAAAATATGCTATCACAGTTACTGAATTTTATTTTTACCAAGCAACTGATAATAACTTATCAATTTGGCAAACATTAAAATTAGCTTATCAACCTATCAAAATACTAACTTATAAAATATCAACTTATCAATCTAATGAATTTTAACATTAATTTATCAACTTATCAAAATATTGACAATAACTTATCAACTTATCAAATATTTAAATAGAAATTTTAGAATTTCTTTTGTTTAGTAATAAAAAACATGCCATAAGATTTCTAATTTGAATTATCTAAATTTATCTAAATTAAAAAGTGAAGAATGACCAAAATTAATATAGTAAAAATATTCATCGTAAATTTTCTAAATGTTTTTCATAGAAATAGAATGATAAAGAAATTGAAAACATCAAAGATCTTTTTAATATTGAGCTATAATATATGAAATAATAGATCTAGAAAGGAGTTTTCGCTTACGGTAAATTCCTGTTACTTTGAATGTTTGGTGTTGAATTAAAAAGTAAGTTAATAGTTTGACTCGAGCTTTCTAGAAGAAAGTGATTTTTATCTTTTATCATTTTATTTCATCATTTTTTCATAGAATATAAAATTTTCTATATGAATGGAATTTCCTTAAAGGTAAATTCCAATATTTAGTTATTTAAATTAACAACCTCTAAATATCATTAACAAATGGGAAATTTTCGATAGAGATTCAATCACACGGGACAGAAATAGGGGGTAAAACTTCCAGTGCCGCGGGGCTGACAGGTTTGAGATCGAATTCTGTGGGTCGAAGGGAACCAAACAAGGGACTATTTGAAATCTATGCAATACATAGCATTCGACCTTTTTGTTCATTTAAATATTTAAACATTTAAATAGGGTTATTTTATTTGAATACACTTGTTAGGAATAGAACCGCAGCATTGGTACTCCAATTTGGCACCATCATTCCACTGAACCATTCACCTCCTAATTTTTTAAAAAAATAATAATAATAAATTTTTATAAATTATTTATTTTTTTCGAATTGAAATTTTTCATTGTTTCATATTTGCCATTTAATTTGCCATTAATATTATTTTCCATTTGATGAAAAAAGATGAAATTTTTTTACTCTTTTTACTCTTTTTCATTTATTATTTGGAAAACTAAAAAATTTGACTATTTTTAAAATTTACAATAAATATTATAATTATTTAATATTTATTTTTTAAGAAATATTATAAATAATTTAATAAATTTGTATTTATTCATTTATTAAATGTATAGTTTTTCCATTATATATTTAGAAATGAGAAAATTTGTTTTTTTTTTTTTATTATTGGCGTATTTCAAAAACAACTAAAAACAACTATATATAACTAAATTTAAATAATATAACATTAAAGAATAAATTATCATATTTATTGTTTACTATTAGTGATAAAGGAGATGAGGAGGTAGGAGATAACATCTATGAGTGGTACTGTTATCCGAATTATCAGAGATTCGGAACTTATCTTCGATAAGAGTATCACTAGGAAATCCTAGTGGTTTTAGCGATCCATCTGTCGTTGCTTGATTATTGTATAGTAAATTCTCACTAGAATCCGAAGCAAACCAAATCAGAAATGAGCGCTAACCATTTATTCGCTTATTATAATTATTTTAACGTGTCCTGGAAACGTCTTACCTTATCCTTGTAATTAGTGTAACCTGCCTAACCACTAATGGTGAGGGCCTTTAGAAGAAGAAGAGAACGTATCCAATCTAACTTCTTCATTATTTATATTT